GGTTTTGTGGTCCAGGGTCACATATGGGCTTTATAAGTACTAATAAACAGTCAGTATGCAAGTAATATGCATGCTAGCTGATAGTGAGAATTGGTCCCTAAAAAAAAAATATTTGTTTTTTATCATTTGTTTTTAGAAAAAGATGTGCTGAGGAATTGTGCACAATAAGACGAGAAACAATAACTAAGAAAGCAGAAATAACCTGAAAGGAAATGTCTCCTGACCATCTGCTTGTGTTTGTGTAGTTACTCTCTGGAGCAGACACTAAATAAAAAATAACATGCATTTGGTATGATCCCTCTTATTTTGGTAAAATAATTAACATTTAGCAGATACTGCAAAGTGTATGTAAAATTTTGACCACAAATGTATATTTATATCTATATGTGTGTGTGTGTGTGTGTGTATATATATATATATATTTTATGTATGTATGTGTATATATATATATATATCGCAATTGTCTGATTGTTGTAGAATGGGACAATCAGACAATGTGAAATGGCATTTTTATTTGCATAACCTGACTGACTGTTGCACTCTGTAGAAATCTAAATCATTTTTGCAATTTCACATCCCGGAATTGCTCATTCATAAACTGGAGAATTACTTGTTTCTCCAGATTCCTAGTTTCCTCTGCACCATTCTGGGGATTTTCAGACTTTCTATTGAATGAACTACTCATTCCACGAAGCATGAATTCCATCTCTTTCAGGATCCCTACATGTCGAGCATTATTTCCTAGATCTATTTGCAGGTGCTTTTTAAAAATGCATGCCGAGTGCAGTGCTGTTCTTGGATCGGAGCTCTTACTTATAAAGTTTCTTTGCACAATTTTGTGTATGCTTAGGGTCACACGCATGGGGAGAAGATGCGTGAAGCGAACCACCGAGCAGCCATGCAGATATTCCAGCAAGTGAATGCTTCACTCCTGCCTCAGAATATTCTAGATCTCCACGGACTGCATGTGGATGAGGCCCTTCATCATCTTAGTCAGGTTCTCACCGACAAAAATTTAGGTATGTGAACCACAAACATACAAAAGAACAGTTTTTCTAGTGTATGCAGCACAGTTGTGCAGGTGTGATGGATAATGTTTTGATTTCAGAGTCTGGCGTTGTCTTTAATGGCTGTGTCTTTTGTAGAATTGAGTCAGGGTTTGTGTCAGCCTCAGCTGTCAGTCATCACGGGAAGAGGCAATCGCAGCCAAGGAGGAGTGGCACGCATCAGGCCTGCTGTACTAGACTACCTCAAAAACCACCACTTCAGGTATACTGACTGCATCCAGCGCTCTTGCAATGTGTCTTTCTGAATGCTACATTGATTCACTACATGCTACTCTCATTCCATCGCTTGGAACGAAACATCTTTCAGTGTAGACACATTCTAGGTCCTGCCAATGAAGTATTAAGAATATTTGCACACACACTTCAGTCACACAGCTGGGTCTGGCTATACTTTAGTTTGGGACCAATTCTCACTGTTATCTAACTATTAACTGCAACTCCGTAAACTCCTAATTAGCTGCTTATTAATAGTTAGTAAGGTAGTTGGTAAGTTTAGGTATGGGGTTTAGGATTAAGGGATCTAAAATATGCTCATGCAGAATAAGGCATTAATATGTGTTTTATTAATACTAATAAACAGCCAGTATGCTAATAATATGCATGCTAATAAGCAATGAGAATTGGTCCCCAAACTCTACATCCTCATTTCTCTTTCTCTACATTTCCCCTTGAATCAGTAGAAACCGTTGGTGGGGGAAAATATTACTCAGCATGTTGAACGCTCAGTAGCTGACCTTTGTTTCAATTAGTAAAGGTCAGATTCCTCCATGATGAACGTGGCAGCTGTCGATGTGAATGCACTTCCTCTCCATCAGAGGGCGACGCACTGAATGACTTTTTCTGCCAGTATTCATTAGAAATGTTTGATGCTATAGAACAGGGGTGTCCAAACTCGGTCCTGGAGGGCCGGTGTCTTGCAGAGTTTAGCTCCAACCCCAGTCAAACACACCTGAAGCAGCTAGTCAAGCTCTTACTAGGCATACTAGAAACTTAAAGGCAGGTGTGTTGAGGCAAGTTGGAGCTAAACTCTGCAGGACACCCAGTTTGGGCAGCCCTGCTATAGAACATGCACTAAAGTTTGGATGCTTTGAATTGCATCCTTCAGCGGATCTAAACAGCAATGCGTTTGCTGCAAAACAAAACTATCATGCTTTAATTCCATGCCCTTTCATAACTTATAACAAGTGCTCTGGTAATTATTCTATTTCACTTAAACTTCACCCCAAGGCTATTTTAATACTATACCAGCTAAGAGACCTTTCTAAAAAGGTGTCTAATTTGTGATCAAATCATTTAAACTGGAAATAAGGATTCCTTTCAAAATGACTGAAATGTCTCGGGGACCCCACACAAAGAATCTTGTTCTTGTTTGTATCTTTGTTTCTTTTCCTCGCTGCATTTAGACCGTTTCATGCGTAATGAGTTCTTGACTGCAGAAGAAGCCAGACTCGACGCCGTAGATGTGCTGAGAACGTCACAGCGGAAGCTTAGAAGGGATTTGATGTACGATTTTACAGAGAAAAGAGCCCAGCCTCGCATTTCACTTCCCTCTGCTAGAGGATGCAGCATATGCTCTGTCTGTGAAGGCATATGTTATCTCTGTGCTCAAAGGTGCGCTTGAGTTTCCTGAGTTTAACAGTTTTTAAGTTTTGAGAAAAATGCAGCATTGGACTGAGGTCTGATCTCTTTCTAATGCTTCATTAAATTAAAATAACAGATGCTAAACTGAGCTTTATCTACGCATGTGAATGTCACGGTTGAAGGGTTCAAAGAGGTGAGTTGTTGTCTTCTTTGTAATGCATCTATTAATTATACCGTGCATTAGTTTAAAACTGTGGATCCTTTTTTCTATAAATGTATTAAACTTATTTTGCCTGCATAAACTGATCACCAATCCGAACCTGATATGTATAGTGTTCATTATTTGTAAGGTTCTTAACCAGTTTAAATCTAAATTAATTATTTTGTAAATTCAATATATTTTGTAAATATCAATTTTCACATCTTTTAAAAAAAAATGAAAAGCATAATCTTGTTTCGGATTCATATAACGTGGTTAACAAGGACTTCAATAAATTGATACTTTTTGTTGACGTCAAATATATTAGTTACTAATTAGTTTTCGATTAACAAAAATCTATATTTTTATTATACCTTGCAATGCTTCAGAGTCTGCGTGTGTGTGTGTGTGTGTGAAGGGAGTTTTCTCCATCACCGATTGTATTGTAATCCTTTAAATTTAGATTATGGTTTCCAATATTCATAGTATTTCTTTAATGAAACACACAAGACTTTACAAATCCTGTCAATAAGGATATAATTGTTGGAGTCATTTTATAACACCACATTTTCTATACTAGCAAAGAAATGCACCGTAGAGGCTATTAAATACTTGCCAGATTATAGGCCTGCTTCTCAAGAATATTCTGGCTGACAATGTTTCCAGTGTTTTTTCTTACCGAACAGTGTTTTCTGACAGTATATCACAACCATTTGGCCTTTTGTGGTATTAAGTGGAGCAGCTGTTTGAATCATCAGTGTACTTTCCTCTCATGACAGCCATGTTGCCGTTTCGAGATTCGTCTTTGAGGATGAGTTTTGCCGAAAACGCCCTTACCAGCATTGGCCCAAAGAGTTATTAAACAAACAAACAAATGAGCTGTCGCATTTGTGTTCAACAGCATTTTTTAGAATACTATAGCCAAAAATGTGTCAATTCGACTTTAGTCGATAACAGGGCCGTTGTCAACGGGAAGCGATGTCTGAGGCCTACAATGAGAGGAGTACTGTGCTCTGTGGTGTTAGCGGGATATTCTATTGATTTCTAAGATCTAAGAATGATGTTGTAGTATGTCTTTGGTATTTTAAAGATATTAAAGGGATGATGAACACAAAAAAATGAGGGTGAGAAAAAGACAAAATTCTCATGTTGTTCCAAACCTGTATGACTTGCTTTATTCTAATGAACACAAAGGAATGTATTTAGAAGAACGTTGGGGTCCAAACAACATCTGACTCCATAGTCATCGTATGGACCAAAAAAACAACAAAAACCCAGAATGACACACTTTTCAAAATCATTTTAGAAAGAGAAAGAGTCATACAGGTTTGGAACGACACGTGGGTGAGTAAATGATGACAATGTCTTTTAAATGAAACTGTTTCTTTAAATAGAAGACCACACTCTAAAAAATGCTAGGTTGTTTCAACCCAACTTTGGGTCAAATATGGACTAGCCCAACCGTTGGGTTTAATTTTTACATTACATTTTTAACCCAAAAGTTGGGTTAGTCCATGTTTGACTCAAAGTTGGGTTGAAATAACCCAGCATTTTTTAGAGTGCAATTAGATGACATATAAATACATTTTTTGTAGATTACATAAAAAAAATTTAAAAAAACATTTCTTGGCGTTTTGCGATTGCATAATAGTAATTGTACTTCTTTGTTCTTTCAATTAGGCAGGAGTGAAACGGTCAAAGGAGAGATACAGCTGAGCCACTTCTGGATATCTCCGTCTTGAATATATCTCTAATGGACCATACTGAACTCAGTTCCTAAACCTTCACTGGATTACAGAGCCGAGGAGGGAAGACTTCAGAATGCTGTGTAACTAGCAGTGTTTTTATTCTTAGAGCTCACATTTCTGCAGACTTGCAATTAGAAAGATGACTTCATCATCTGTTGGACACCACTGATCTTTTTTTTAGACTCATTATTTACAATAACTAGAACACCAGATGGACAGAAGGATGAATGGGCTGGTAGAGGCCTCAGTGAAATGCGTCCTGGTCGGGGACTGTGCAGTGGGTAAAACGGCACTTCTTGTACGATTCACTTCTGAAACGTTCCCAGACAGCTACAGACCTACTGTCTATGAAAACACTGGCGTTGATGTATTCATGGATGGAGTCCAGATCAGCTTGGGACTGTGGGATACAGCAGGCCATGATACATTCCGCCAAATCCGGCCCATGTCCTATCAGCAGGCGGATGTGGTTTTGCTCTGCTATTCGGTGGCAAATCCGAATTCGTTAAATAATTTGCGGCACAAATGGATCACTGAAGTGAGGGAATATCTCCCGAAGGTTCCTGTGCTGGTTGTTGCCACACAGACAGACCATCGTGAGATGGGGCCGTATCGCACCAGCTGCACCGCGGCTTCGGAGGGCAAACAGGTGGCACAGGAGATCCGTGCCAAGGGATACCTGGAATGCTCGGCTCTCAGCAATCGTGGCGTGCAACAGGTTTTTGAGTGTGCTGTTCGGACGGCTGTTAATCGGGCACGAAGACGGACACGCTGGAGACTCATAGACATTAACCCCTGTAAAATGTCCTGATGCTTTTAAAAGAGGGATGTCGTTTGATTCTCATCACTAATTGTCTCTCACACACAATACCAACTATTTGAAGCCTCAACAAAGACTTCTTAACACTGATATCTTAATATTGTATACTTAAGATTTTGAGTCCTCTAGTTAGACACGTTACAGACATCGAACGGATATTTATTCATTAAAAAGCTGTGTCCTTGTTGTTAATTTCATGAGTATAAAATTATTGAACACCGGAACATATCTTTTAAAAGACAGGTGCGTCTTTCATTGCTACTTGTGTTGGAAAATGTGCATTTGTAGATTGGAGCTCTTCAAGTTCAGTTTTAAATTTCATTCTTGTGAATTGAAACGGACCCTTAAAACTCACTCTCAATCTGCTTGGTTTCTCTCCTAGACCTGCATGTGAAAATGCAAAGTAAGGATTCACATTAGCTCATAATGTCAGATCACATTCTGCAATCTTCATTTTAAATGGCGATTAAATCACTTTGGTTATGAATTTCTGATTTGCTGACAACGCTTTTTTCTGTGTCCTGTTGTTTATGGAGCTTAAAGCTAAGATGAGGATTTCAGTCATGAAGTTCCTTTTCTTAAAAGATTGATTTCATAATCTTTATGAGGTCACTTAAAAAAAGGAGTTGTTTTAATAAAAAAGAGTTTAGCTCTGTGTGGAACCATGGAAAATATGTTTACATACGTTCTGACTAAATAAACAAAGGCGTGTGTTATTAAAAATAAGAATGATTAAACTTATTAATGCTAAAACTATGACAATCCCCTTGAGAAGGACCCTCTTCCTAAAACATAAAGTTAGCTATTTATTTTGAGACTCATATTTCCATCCCTGAGAATGATTGTCTATACTGGAGCATTCTGGGTGATGTAGTTCTGCAGCGTAATATGTCGAATTGTGCTACAGGATATGAAACTCTCCTACGCCTGAGAAAGAAACAGAAAGACAGAAAGACGCCTCGAGAAGCACCACTTCCTGTCTTATTCCTCTCATCTCTCGTCATTTCAGACCCTACAGTCCTTGTGTGTGTGTGTGTGTGTGTGTGTAAGTGTGTTCGTGTGCATGCTATGTGATACCTCGGCTCTTGTTCCAGAGAAACAGTAAGAATGACATTCAGGCCTTCAGTGTTGTACCTGACACACCACTGCTCTCAACGTTCACCTCGCTATGGAACTTCTCGCAATTTCTCTTTCCTCCTCTGCAGCAAATTTCATATGACTACGGACAGCAAATGAGGAGCAACAGCAAATAATAACTGGCAGATTTTATTTTATTTTTGCCATTCTTCTGAAAAATGAAGATCATATTTCTTGTGATTCACATTAGCATGTTGCTACATGGTAAGTTCATGCTCCTTTTAATGCTGATGCTAAAATTATTTACTTAATAGGTATTTTGCCTTGTTTTTCAGTAAAATAACTAAACATCCTTTAAAATAAGATAAATTTGTTTGATAAGCAAAATTGTGTCAGATAAGAGATTTTCAGAGAATATATCTTGAACAAATTTTCTAACTACAATAAAACTAACTACACACACACACACACACACACACACATACACACACACACACACACACATATATATATATATATATATATATATATATATTCTGGAAAAACTCTAGTAAAACCACATGAAAATACTGATTAAGAAATACTTTTATAATTACATCCAGATTTGAATGTATTTTGTTTTTTTATACACACACACACACACACACACACACACACACACACATATACAGTATATACATAGATTCATACATGTATAAATAGTAATTTTATATATACTACATAATGATTATTGTTTGTATTTCAGCATATGCATTGTTTTTAAGCTGTATGTCTAAACGTTATTTTATAAAAACAACAAAATATGTATATTGCAACAAAACAACAAAATATAACTATATTGTCCTCTGTAGTTGTTTTCTCTGCTCAGGGTCGTTTTGCTCAAAAACTGCTGAACGACCTGATGGAGAACTATTCTAACGCTTTACGGCCTGTGGAGGACACAGACAAAGCCCTTAATGTCACTCTACAGATCACACTCTCACAGATCAAAGATATGGTGAGCACTAAAAACACACGACTACGGAATATTGCATCTATTTTACCTCATGCTTTTACTGAATGATAGAACAGAATGAGGTTACAGCTACATGCATCAGAGCTGCTGCAGAAACAGTGGGTTTGAAATCACGAGATCAAGGCATACAGTATATCTCACCAGCAAAACACCCACACACTGTCCGACTGGCCTTGATGTGGCATGGCACATGTGTGTTCTGATCATACTTTGGCGACTTAATGCTAAAACCACAAAGATTGCACAATTGCCCCAAACTTTTAACCTTTGAAAATACATGCCTAGCTCAAATTCACACTCATTCAGGCCTAGTGCTTAAATAACAACAGTGAACTACTAATGAATGTATTGGAAGCATTTGCTAATGGTGCCTAGCCATTAAAAAAGCATGTTCTCACTGGTGAAGCTTACATCACATGTTTGATTAGCACAAGAAGCTTTTGCTTTAGCACAGATTTTACACTGGACATTTTATGTTGTTTACAAAAACAATTCATTAATCCAAATGAATACACAGCCACATTTGAATGACCATCAGTGGAGAAAAATTATTTTTGTCCAAATAATAATTGGACAAACTTGCCCTCCACTACAGTTGCAGTTATAATGGATACCTCTAGGTGTCAGTACTTCTCAAATGTTTATTGTGTGGATCCTCTTCTCATTAACTCTCTGTACCCTGTGACACTGTAAACATTATATGCGTGTATGTATAGTGTGAGCTGCGTGACTAATGTATAGCACTATCTACCAAGTGTGCCACTGCGGATCATGTTTATTCTCCCTTCAAAATGTTTATTCAATGCATCAGTATGTGTGATGAAGTAACCTACAAATGTGTTGGATAATAAGATTTGTGTTACTCTATTAGTTTATATATATTTTCTACTTATTTACACAAAAGTAATGTCCGCTTTAAAATAAGGAGAATATGGAATGTGTGTGTGTGTGTGTGTATAGTGTTGCAATTTGAGTAAAACACTGAATTAGCAAATTATAACTTTTGCTTTAATTGCCACAGCTGAAATGAGCACAAGTTTCTACAAAATTGTTATCCAGCATGATTTAAGAATCAATCTTGTTCTTCAGTGGAGGCAATAACATCTGACTTTATGCACAATGTCACAAGTATGTTTATTTGATTAGTTGACTAAAATTAATGCAGCATCTCACATTTTTCTTATTCATTTTACGCCATACCATTTATTTGTTTTACATTTTCAAAATCTTAAAATATTTGTTTATTTCCATGTTCAAATTTAATTTGGAATCTAAGATTTTCAGTGTGGTCTCAGACTTTTGGAACCCACACATTTACTGTAGAACACACTCTTTGCAGGTGATGTTATGCTAATACTTAAAGGCACAATATGTAATTTTCGCAGCTAGAGGGCGCGTATTCAAAATAAACAAAGAGACAAAAGCGTAGGTGACTGAGTGTGGAATCATGGGAGTTGTGGTCTTCATCCCCACAGCCGACGCAATCCGACGGGACTCAGGCAGAAATCATGTTCATGGATGAGCTAATGATTTATTAACGTAGTAGAATGAAGCAGGGTGAGGCTGAAAGCCGTCGAAGCGAAACGAGGAGCTGAACGAGCCTGACACACGGCTCGAAAGCAGCGGAACTTTTATTATGCCACAGTCGAGCGCTTCCGCTGCTTCCAGTCATGCGTATGTGGGGTAAAGCACCGGAGCTTTTATTATGCCACAGCCGAGCGCTTCCGCTGCTTCCAGTCATGCGTATGTGGGGTAAAGCACCGGAGCTTTTATTATGCCACAGCCGAGCGCTTCCGCTGCTTCCAGTCATGCGTATGTGGGGTAAAGCACCGGAGCTTTTATTATGCCACAGCCGAGCGCTTCCGCTGCTTCCAGTCATGCGTATGTGGGGTAAAGCACCGGAGCTTTTATTATGCCACAGCCGAGCGCTTCCGCTGCTTCCAGTCATGCGTATGTGGGGTAAAGCACCGGAGCTTTTATTATGCCACAGCCGAGCGCTTCCGCTGCTTCCAGTCATGCGTATGTGGGGTAAAGCACCGGAGCTTTTATTATGCCACAGCCGAGCGCTTCCGCTGCTTCCAGTCATGCGTATGTGGGGTAAAGCACCGGAGCTTTTATTATGCCACAGCCGAGCGCTTCCGCTGCTTCCAGTCATGCGTATGTGGGGTAAAGCACCGGAGCTTTTATTATGCCACAGCCGAGCGCTTCCGCTGCTTCCAGTCATGCGTATGTGGGGTAAAGCACCGGAGCTTTTATTATGCCACAGCCGAGCGCTTCCGCTGCTTCCAGTCATGCGTATGTGGGGTAAAGCACCGGAGCTTTTATTATGCCACAGCCGAGCGCTTCCGCTGCTTCCAGTCATGCGTATGTGGGGTAAAGCAGCACTGTTTTATCATACTAGATACATTTAGTTCTGTTATAATGCTACTCTGTGTGGTCGTCACCGGTCTAATAAAACGCACAACATATTAAAGCGTCTTTAATGTTTCCATGTTTTCTACAAAACAAAACCGGAAATCGAGGGGTTATTACATCATTAGCAGGCGACACAATGACACTAAGCAATAAAATTGCTTATTTCTCTCGATTTAAACATTCTTCGAAACATTTGGATAATTTAAGTCATAAAATATATACCACTGTTCTAGTAGTTTTTGGATATTTTAATAAAAAAATCTTACATATTGTGCCTTTAAGAAAATAACAGACTAGATCAAATCTATCATCAAACTACAACTAATTGTAGTGTCTTGTTGGTCCGTAAATGTTTATCCAAAACTGAAAATGCTGTCAGATTTCTTTCTTCTTTGGAAGTTATTTATTTATTTAGAAATATTGGACCACGCTGATCTTTAGATTTCTTTGTTCCACAGAAGAAAGAAAGAAAGTTTTGCAGTGACGATGATGACAGAAATCTGTTCTGTAATTGTAATTGTGTGTTTTTTTGTCAGTGTTTGTGTGCTCTGTCTGTGGATGATGGTTATATAAGACACTGTTTATGTGCATTCCAGAAAGAGACAATGAATTTCTCATTCAAGAGGCACTGAATTTCCGCCCTGATCAAACCCAATCAAATATTAATTTACTGAACCCGAGGAGTACTTTTAACCAATGAGATGTGATATGTAGAAGGCATTAAGTGCAACCTAAGGGTTCAGACTTTCTTCGCTTTCATTCTTCATTGTTGTGAGAAAGTGTTCCATGTACAACAACAGGGTTTTATCTTGCAGAGCAAGACCCTGTGCGACTGAATACTTGGTCTTAACATACCATACTGTTACCTCAAAGAAAAATAGATATTTGAACATGCAAGCACATGAGGTTTCAAGCTCCAAAAAGGACATAAAGGCGCGAAAGTAATCATCAGTCTTCTGTGATCACTTTGATGATAAATAGACCCAGATTTGGGTGGTTATTCACTCACAAATCAAATAACTGATGTATACAGAGCTCAGATCCAAAATGGCGAGACGTCAATAACATAAATTCTTAGATTCGGCTGTTTGGTATGATTTGGCTTATGCAGGTCTGTAAATGACAGCTGCTTTTGCTTTGTGCTAGGATGAAAGGAACCAGGTGCTGACCACATACCTGTGGGTGCGTCAGATCTGGCATGATGCTTATCTGTGCTGGGATAAAGATGAGTATGATGGACTTGAGGTCATTCGAATACCCGGCAACCTTGTTTGGAGACCAGACATCGTTCTGTATAACAAGTAAATACATATACACACAACATCTTGCATAAAACAGGAAAAAATACAAATCTGCTCATGTAAACAGTACATAATGTGAGACTTTAAACATTCAGACTTAACTAATATGAAGACAGCAGGCTCAGATTTGATTAATGGACACATAGAAGACTGAATTATTAATCTCTATATTACTTTTTCGCTCAGTGCGGATGAGGAGGACTCCTCGGGACCCCCAGACACGAATGTGGTGTTGCGGTATAATGGTGAGATCACTTGGGACTCCCCTGCCATCACTAAGAGTTCCTGTAGCATCAGTTCAGAGTACACTCTAAAAAATGCTGGGTTAAATATAACCGCTGGGTCAAAACAACCCAATAGCTGGGTTTGTCCCTGTTTAACCCAGCGCTGGGCTATATTTAACCCAGCATTTTTTTAGAGTGTACATATAGTCAGTGCTAGGTAGCAATTAATAACATGTAATCTGGATTACATAATCAGATTCCAAAAATAAAGTACTTGTAATTAGATTATATTACATTTTAAAATACTTGTAATGTAACCACGGTTACTTTTTTATTGATTACATGATTACATATTACAATTGCATTACATTACATTACAAACACATTAAAATGCAAAGATTCACATTATTTCGAAATGTTGGTTAATGGTCACATGACATCCAGGTGAACAAATAAAATATTTAATATTTTTTTAGTGTTTAAGTGTTTATTTTAACGATAGAATTATTTACTTTTAATTTGACATTTTTATGATTTCAGTTTATAAGCATTACTTAAAAAAAAAAAAAAAGAATAGAAAAAAAAAGCACAAACCCCCTGCAGTTACTATCCCCCTGAAATATTATTCTATTTAAAACAATGTTATAAACAAGTTAGGTCAAAAGTAATCTAAAAGTAATCTGATTATATTACCTAAAATGTGTAAGGTAATGGATTACGTAAGTAACTAAAATTTGGTAATCAGTAATGGGCTACAATTTGTAAGTAATCTACCCAGCACTGTACATAGCACTCATCAATATGACTTAATACGACTTTCCATTGGAAATGAATGATTCTAGTTATAGCTGGCCGATATAGTCAATAGAAAAAAAATATATTGAGATGTACAAATATAATCATGCAAAGAAAAACAAGCTTTATTGTCTTTTGTCATAAGCATTGACAAGTGGACATACAGACATACAATAAACTGTTGAACAATTCGAGTGCATATGGTTGTCAATCCCGAACACTGATTGTGTGATTGTATAGCCTCTTTCTTATTTATCCCTTCTTTGTGTCTTTCCTATAGGAAAATACTACATTGCAACTATGACCATGATAACAGCCTCTACATCTTTGACTATCTTTATCATGAATATACACTTCTGTGGAGCGGAAGCCAAACCTGTGCCCCACTGGGCCAAAGTCCTGATAATCGACTACATGTCAAAGATCTTCTTTGTGTATGAGGTAGGAGAGAACTGCACCACAGCTGAAAGCGACCGAGGCCCGTTGTTCTCTGAGGACCCACTGGCTAGCTTGGAGAGAGATGGGTATTTTGACAAAGGATTTTATGGAGACTGTCACCATGATGAGAGAAACCACAGTCAGTTTAACGGCTACAGCCACAGAGACCACCGGCATGGGAATGGGTACCGTCGCAACAACAGTGCCTATCGGCATCATAGGCATGACCAGCAAAGGAGGACCCGCTCATCTTCAAATTCCCCTATCCGACATCCGAAATACACACACTACATTGGTCGAGATGGAAGCGAAAAGCTCCCACTAACAAGCCAGGAGAAACTCAAAGATAGCGAACTCTCCATTCCAGAAAAACTTAATGGATACACCTACGATCACGGCAATGGCTATCTCAATGGAGTCGCCTATCACCACGATAACAGCTACAGCAAAACCTTTGGAGCAGATAGTTGCAATAAGACCACCAGTGGCACAGGATCTGTATGCGCCTGTGGCCAACATCAGAAAGTGGTGCGAAACATTGAGTACATAGCTAACTGTTTCAGAGAGCAGAGGGCACACCAGGCCAAAGGGGCCGAGTGGAAGAAGGTTGCCAAGGTGATGGACAGATTCTTCATGTGGGTGTTTTTCATCATGGTCTTCCTCATGAGCATCCTTGTCATGGCCAAGGCAACCTAGAGCCGTTTACACCTTAACTCTTTCCCCACCAGCGTTTAAAAAAAAAAAAAGTTGCCAGCCACCGCCATCATTTTTACAAAAATCTCATGGCCCCCAGAATATTTTGTTGTATGAATATCTGAACATGCAAAATGTCAAAAGAAAGAACAGAGCCTCTGCTTTGAACAAGCAAACAAAAAGTTTAATTCTAGCTTCATGCATTCTTTTTTCTTAAGTAAGTTTCATAAAAAAGCAACATTTTTAACAAAAAGCTGAGAAAATTGTGTTTTTGTCAACGACCACGTCTGTATGGAATTCAGATAGATGATTAAAACAGATGGAGTAAATTGCTTCCATCAACACACCCAAAGCTTCACAGACACTTCCTAGATCAACATTTCATTCGGTAACGTTACACTCTAAAAAAATGTTAAAACGGGACAAACCCAGCGGTTGGGTTGGGCTGTTTTGAGTCAAAACAACCCAATAGCTGGGTTTGTCCCTTTTTAACCCAGCGCTGGGTTATGTTTAACCCAGCATTTTTTAGCGTGTAGGCAGTTTTGATTTAAATGCTGTTTAATGATTGATGATCATGTTTTTTACATGTGCGATCGCTTGTTTCTGCTTCTTCTTCACCATGTTTTGATCCATGGATTCAATACTCTTTCAGAAGATGTGTAATAGCGCCTCCTACTGTCTAACAGTAGAAACATGGCAAGCCAGAAAATTCCATCAATGGCGGGGAAAGAGTTAAAGATGTAATCAATTGATTATATATTTGGTAACACTATGTGTCAAAAGAACAGTTAGTTACTGATTATTCCATTTTTTCAAACAATAATTCCTTTAATCCTGTATTTGGCTCATTGGCAACTTAATATGTGGTTTACAGTTACTGCACGACTGTTAGTTGTTTGAATGTCTCACTTTCTTCATTGTTTACTTTGTTCTTTCCACTGAAGAAAATTCTCTGGTTGTAACAGTTAAATAAATGGCATTAATATTTCAGGTGTAGACGTGTTCCCACATGTGTATGTGTAGAGTAACACAATCTTTGTCTGGCACGGACACACATTAATAATGCACAATTAATCCTGCACATGCACATGGACAGACATCCACACTAATGCACATTAAAAATGCATAAGTAGACCAGTCTTGAATGTTGACCACACATAAATACAGTGCAAACCTTGCATCCTTGAACAGTGCTAACATATTATGTCATCAGAGAAATATATTTTCTTGTGTTAACTTTTTATATCTCTTCTTTTAGAAATGGTGCTTCCTTTCTTCTTTTACAAATGGTGCTACACAAATAAAAAAACTTGATCAATTACAGAATCTTAGAACAACTGATCATAAAAGGAGAATGGAACGAGAATGAAAAGAGAGTAAGTAAAAATGAACACTGTCACCTCAGACTGCCTACTAAAACCTGATTATATGGCGACATACTGTATAAATTAATTCACCTTAGTAAGTATTAAACCAAGCCTTGCATGAAAATGAGCTGCTAAAATGTAGATTGATGAAAAGACTTTAATAGGTGCTGGACTAAACCTCTGTCTTCTTGTTAAGCCAAAGACTCAACTCGTTTCAACTGAGAATATCTCAACAGCCATTTATGAGCACTATTTATTCTAATCACACATTTAAGCTAAGCTTCGGAAAATCACAGTGTACACTGTAGTCTCCAGGCTAACAGCATCCCGGACACCAGTATTTTAACAAATCCTAAAGTCTGAGATTTCAGTGTGGAGATAAATGTTAGGATCATGAATGTTCTGCAGTATTACAGCACACCTTGAGCGTATATTAGCACCGTTAGTTGTTTGCTTGACTCAAACATTTTAAAAATGTTATATATTGATCTAAAGATTATTTATATATTATCTATATTTATATTTGCATTTTTCATGTATATGGCATTGATTTGAATGAATCACCCTGGACTTTCTTGCACAGTCAAATTAAATGCAGCATATCAAAGACAAACTATTTACCATTTTGGCAAGTTTGGCAAATCCATACAAAAGCAGAAAAGTTGGTGTGGTGTAGATAGGATTGGAATAAACGTATGTACAGGTAAGTTCTTGATCATTTCAACTGGTGCTCCCGGAAAACCTGCAATAAAAATAGAAAAGTTCAAAAACAGGCATACCCATTACGAAGTATCTCATCTGGTATCAGGTATTGCAATGTGTCAGTCCAGGTTCAATTTAAGTTGACTCAGTCAACAGCATTTGTGGCATATTATTGCCCCCCCAAAAATCCAATTGCCCCTATGAATATATTTTTAACATGGTATTTTATGAGAAATCCAGTGACCTTGTCATGTTTTCATTTCATTGTGATTTTATTGGAAGATAAATTATGTAAAATATTAAATACCAGTACATTTCAATAACAGTTTGTGCTTTGTATATTCTCAGCATGAGATGGTACGTGCACAATCAGGACAGATGTGTTTACTGACAGTCTAACACACACAAAACTGTCAGAGCTATGCAAACTCCAATTTCCACTTGCCATGGCTGTGGTGCTGCTTTGAAAGAGCATTCTGGAATGTCTTGCACAGCCAACTTAAAGGTAGCCCGCTGCAGATGTCCCAGATGGGACTTGAACCCACAATCCCCACTTTTTTAATTTTACGGTTATTACGTAATCTCGAGAAGGGATCTGCATGTCGATAACACGTTGTAGAGGTACATTCAGTTGACAACATAATAGCGCTTTTCATTTTAAATCATCCGCATCGTAGTGCAGTTGTTTCCTGTATAACGCTATGAGTTAGCATTAGCGCTTTTCTATTAGCTTTAGTGTTTTCTGTCGAGAATGAAGTAATAATTCCGTCTCATTTTTTTAAATTTAATTTACATTGCAGGTTTTAGTAACCGGGGTTGTTCTTAAAATGTGTATATTTGAAAACAGCCACTGTTTTCTCTAGTGTTTAGTTTGCTTGTTTGTGTTGGTTTTTAGCGCCTTGTTTGTTTTGGTAAGTTATTAGCATACACACTTTTTTTTTCAGGGGGTCATGAATTATTGATCAGTTTCAAATGCGCTTATCTAGAAGATTTTTTTAAATTACAAATAAGCCTAAAACATCTCGGGTAGACAGTTAACATGAATAGATTTTTTAGATGATCTCCTCTTTTAAAGATTATTACAAGAATACAGTGAAATACACAATTCTGCAGGAACGTTTATAAACATTATTATATAGTACTGCACAATAAGGTCTCATTTGTTAACATTACACATTTTACAGCCTTTGTTAATAAAAAATGTTCATGTCTATATTAGTTCACAGTGCATTGATTAATGTGAACTGATCTTTATGTATTAGTAAATGTTGAAATTAAATGTAGCTAAAGTATTTATTATTAGTACGTGCTACCTGTTTACAAACGAAGCCTTATTGTAAAGTGTAAGTAACTAGCATTAGTAACACTTCCTCCCAAATTGCATTGTGAACCCATGATCTTGCCTTTGCTATTATTACATGCTCTAATCATTTATTGTATATGTTGTTTCTACATTTATTTAGTAATTGTTTAATTCTACTCCGTAGTAAAGATCCAAGATGAATGCAAGAGGAAGAAACGGGCCAGTGTTTATCAAGACGTACAGTAAAAGAATGCGAAAGGTGGAGCCTTGGTTCTCCCCTGACCTGAAGAAAGCAGCTTTCTCTTTCTCAAGCACTCTTTCATCAGATCAGTCCATAGCGGAGACCACACAACCCAAGAAACGGTAAGACACGCCTGCATCCATTTATTCATTAACAAAGCCATTTTATATTGCAAAATGTTGTCTAACTTTTCTATAGGGAAGCTGATATTATCCATGACAGTTTCTTTGTCTGAATAGGAGACTAAGAGAAAGAGCCTCCCGTCCTGCTAAAAGCAAAGCCATGACTGCCATAAAGGAGAACGGGAGTGATGAGGAAAACTATGCACCGTCCTCATTGTTCAGGTCAGGACTGAGGCTAAACAACACACTAGAACACGTAGTTTACTAACATTGTGGATGAAATGTCCACACATTGAAATGAATTTAGCACCGATTCTCACTCTTAACTTGCTTATTAGCATGCATATTACTAGCATATTGCCCGTTTATTAGTGGCTTATTCTGCATGACCATATTTTAGATCCCTTAATCCACCAAATACCTAAACTTAACAACTACCTTACTAATTATTAATAAGCAGTCATTTGGAGTTTATTTAGGCAAAGTCATAGTTAACAGTGAGAATTGGTTCCAAAACTAAAGTGTGACCGAGAATATTATTTCACTACAAATTGTTCTGTTACCTTCCAGTGACATGTACCCTAGATCTTATTTTACTCATAATTTAAATCCATCCGGAAATCTCAAACAGATCTTACTTAAAACCAGATTTGATCAAGTGGTCTTTAGGCCTGTCGCAATAATCAATATATCGACTTATCGCGCAATATATGTACATGATTTCAATCATTTTTGGTGACGCAATATATCGCACATTATATTTACTTAAAAATTAATGTCACCGTGTTTTGTACATTCCACTTGCGCCAGTGTCTTTTGCAGCTTCTCGAACATAACGTGGTGTAGTCATGAGGTGCTAGTTAAAATTTTAAAAATGCTTCAACAAAAACAAATTTTAATCTGCAGATATATGGTCTTGTTTAGGGATCTGTGCCTTTGTGCATACGGACATCTGACTGCTGAGTAGTGATTGTGTTTTTCAGCAATAGTGTGCAGCCTTAATTTACAGAGAAAAGAAGGTCCGGGAAAGATCTGTAGATTGAAAAATCTCCATACAAGTTATTTGTGCATTTTTCTCTTTTTCTTCTTATTTTGCACTTTTTGTTAGAAAATGTTTATTTACTATTTATTCAGGTTTTTTTAAGGTATCTAATATTTGATACTTTCCATGATCTAAATATTCTTAAAAATGAATAGTTTGTTGTCATTTGGAAGTGTGTAGGCCTTGCATTATTATGCTGTTACATTATGATTATATATTCAGTGACATAAAATGGTCTTTAAAATGACAATAATATCGCTTATTGCAATTATTTCTGGGGCAATATATCGCACAACAAAAAGTTGTTGTCATGACAGGCCTAGTGGTCTTTACCAGATGGTCACAATACTCAACTGACCCAACTCTATGCATATTCAGCAAGACCCCCTTTCTATTAAAAACATTCTTTTGGACTGTCTCGGTTTTAATGCAAGTAGAAAGCTCTTTTATGAAGATAGTTCACTTAAGGACGTATTTAGTAAGATTTTGCCTGAAAAGGTTTTAGAATTTTTATCATATGCTAATTAAAAAAAATCTTGTATAATATTACTATAATATTAGTTTTTGCCATGAGAATAGCCTCAGATGCTGACATGGCATTAAATAAAATTATACTACTACTATTTACTCATAATTTGAAGATTCTAAAAACCCATTAGAAATTCTCAATTCTCATTCTTCACTGTTCCGTATGGCTCTGTTTTTGCAGAAAGAAGAAGAATGCAAAACCATCGGTAAGGACTACAGCTGTGAGGAAGACTCGAATGACAAAGAAGGCAAAAATAAATGAACTGATAATTCTCAGCAGCAGTGAAAATGAGGATGACTCCTGTATGATGAAGCATGAAGTCCATCCAAAAACGTCTGCTGATGAATGTGCTGGGTAAGTCGTCTTATACATTTTGTAAAATAAATCTGAAAATCATTACTGTTACTCAGTGTTGGGGGTAACGCATTACAAGTAACGCGAGTTACGTAATCGGATTACTTTTTTCAAGTAACGAGTAAAGTAACGCATTACTTTTTAATTTACCAGAAAATATCTGAGTTACTTTTTTTTCCCATTTATTGATTGAAAGCTCTCCTGTCCTCTTGTTGAGAGAAATTGGGAGTAAAATGTTACTTTAGTTCTAGGTGATAAAAAATCTGATTTAGTTTTCCTCAAAATTAATAAAAACAGTTAAACGCAACTCAGAATATGACTCAAAGCTGCAATAATTAAATATGTTAAATAATACAAATATCCTTTA